CATCCTTCTCCGTGAGGTGTGTCATCCTTCTCCCTGAGGTGTGTCATCCTTCTCCGTGAGGTGTGTCATCCTTCTCCCTGAGGTGTGTCATCCTTATCCTCTTTTTTCCTGAGGTGTAGTAATTTCTTACGTTTTAGGATCGTTTGGAGGAAATTATCCTTCAACTGAGCCCGGGTTCCTCAAGCAGATCAAGCATTTGTCTGGAAGACTTCATCCAGATGAGCTCGTTCAGTTTATCGAATCTTGTCGTATCAGCGGCGCAAGTTACAAGGTAATTTTTATCCCTATAAAAAATATTTACAGTGTATTAATCATTTGATTATGAAAGATGATCGAGAGATAGTTAACTGAAAATGACTCTCGACTCACTCTTTTTCTAATCTTTGTCATTTGATTTGACTCGGCATTAAATGTAAGATCAGCTCAGAGGTTGTTTCAGGGTTAGATCCCCGGGGGGGGTAATCCGCCAGAATTTGGGTAGGGATGTTCCGCTGGGATTCTGAAAGGGGTACCCTGTTTATGACAATTAAACCTAAATTGTAGACCCTGTTTATGACAAAAGATATAATTAATTGCACTGAGTTCCTGTTTCAATTATCATGTCATCTCGCGTATCGTTTTTTTGACGACCATAATAACCAGTTTCGGTCAATACGAAAGCAGAAGCCCTGAATATGACAGGAAACTCAGGAAGAACTTGAGTGAAATTGCATACCCTGTTTATGACAAGAAGCTCGAGAAACCATACCCTGTTCAGCGGATCATCCCCGTATAGTCCATATATGGGAGTACCCCCCCCCCCCGGAGGGGTTAGATCTGCCAGTTAGCCATGCCCTGACTTAGATCAGCCCAGAGGTTGTTTCAGGGTTTTATCTGTCAGTTAGCCATGCCCTGACTTAGATCAGCTCAGAGGTTGTTTCAGGGTTTGATCTGTCAGTTAGCCATGCCCTGACTTAGATCAGCTCAGAGGTTGTTTCAGGGTTTGATCTGTGAGTTAGCCATGCCGTGACTTAGATCATCCTAGAGGTTGTTTCAGGGTTCAACCTGTGAGTTAGCCATGCCCTGACTTAGATCAGCCCAGAGGTTGTTTCAGGGTTTGATCTGTGAGTTAGCCATGCCGTGACTTAGATCATCCCAGAGGTTGTTTCAGGGTTCAATCTGTGAGTTAGCCATGCCCTGACTTATACTAGCCCCCCGTTTCGGGGTTCTATCTGTGAGTTATCCCCCCTGACTTTGATCAGCCCAGGGGTTGTTTCAAGGTTCGATTTGAACTTTTGAATAATTCTCTCTCACACACACACACTTTCCCAAAGCTTGCTCATAAATAGTTCGATCTAGTTTAGTTATTATTTTTTTCTTTTTCTAACCAGGACAAACAGCAGATTACCAACACCAAGAAGAACGTAGTCAAATGTTTCAACACCATAAAACTCAACGTCATTGACACAGTTCCTCGCTGCATCCAGCACTTCTTMATTGCCCAACTCGTCGAGAGCCTGAGGGACGCTCTCAAATCAGGTGAAATGATGGAGTTTCTAAAAGAGAAGGAAACAGTGCGAAGAAAACGTGAACAGTGCCAGAAAACCCTGGATGGAATCAACCATGCTCTGCCACAAACCGAGCAAATTCCTTCAATGCTTCTAAGGATCAAACAGGGGCGCCGAGCAGTGAAACAATAACTTCTTTATACGGCATTACTAGGTAAGGGTCTGGTTAGGGTCTGGCTCGGCGAGGCCACCGAGGCACGGGGTAACAAGTAGCTCAAATAATTTTTTCGTGTTAAATGTAAGTTCAGGCGTCTGTAGTTTATTTTCACTTCCTACGTATGAGGGAAAAAATCCTTGAGAACGTGATTTCGAAATAGTCGCTGCAGGTGATTTGAATGTGATTCTTGAATTGTGTTATAAGGTCGTTTTAATTGATCAATCATKTTATCAACAATTTTAGACGGAGCTAAGACCCCTTATATTTAGCTCTGTAGTAAATATGACATCAGTAATATATATATATTTCTAGGATAACGACACTTTCTACGCATGGGAAAGGTTTATTAACGATGTTTTTATTTGTATTTACGTTGCTATTCTTGAATAAGCCTGAAGCGAGATGACGTTTTACCCCCGTCTCTAGACCATAATCCTTTTCACACTGCTTTTGTTCTTTAATTATGACTATTGTTCCTGTATTCTCTAAGGAATCAAAAATTTTAATATGAAAGAATTCTAAAAACTATTATGGTACAGAGTCGGGGGTAAAACGTCGTCTCGCTTCAGGCTTATTGCAACCACATGACTCAAAATCTCTCGAGATTTAAAGAACGATGAAACAGCCGCCATGTTGGTTGATCTAACAAGAGAGGCTTAATGAGGAATGCATTGTTAACATCAACCAACATGGCGGCTATGATACACCCCAAGATTAATTTCCTACTATCACTATTAAGTCATTATTAAGGTTGTGTTATGATCAATAGTTAGTTAGTTAGCCAGCACAAAGTTCAAATATTGTTTATTGTATTTACTAAACATATTTACAATGGTAGAAAAAACCGACAGTTTTTAAGGTGACTGCCTACTTTTGGAAATTGATTTAARCTTTTTTTAAAACTTCGATTTTCCGAATTGAAATTTAATGCTGATTCCAAATCTGGAAAGAAAAATAGGGTGTCCCGAGCTCGTTTTCGAGATAATCAGCAATTAATGG